AGGCTTGTAGACCAGATGGAAGACGAAGGCGTTGCAGTACCTGGGGGCGGCGGGGCACCGTCAGCGACCCAGTCCCGCCGGCCCGCGGGTAGCAGGGTCTTTTGGGGGTGGGGGAGGGAGGAGTTGGGGAGATTTTGTGAGCTGGATCTAAAGAGGGGGTGTGGCCGGCCGGCGTGGCTCAGCGGTTGAGCTTGGACCTAGGATCCGGGAGATCGCGGTTCGATTCCCGGTCGGGGCGCATGCCCGGGCTGCGGGCTCGGTCCCCAGCAGGGGGCGTGCGGGAGGCGGCCGATCCATGACTCTCATCATCCATGTTTCTCTCTCTCCCCCTCTCCCTTCCTCTCTCTGAAATCAATAAAGATATATCTTAAAAAAAAAAAAAGAGATGTGTGTGTGTGGGGGGGAGGGGTTGTCTTGAGTAGACGGGGTAGAAAAGGCAGGTGGTAGGCCGGGCCGGGAGGGTGCCAGGAGCGGGAGGCCAGGGCAGGGGTCCCGGGGCGGGCGCTGCGGGAGTCACGTCCAGGGTCAGGAGGACGCGGGAGGTGGCGGGCCCTCACCAGGGCATGCAGTTGTCGGCCGCTCTGAGGCGAAACGGGGAGCGGAAGGGGTTGGGCTGCGGCGGGCTGGTGCCCCCGCCGGTGGNCCCCCGCCGGTGGCCACGGCCATGGTCTGCTCGTCCATCACGCAGCCGTACTCGCTGCTCTCCGTGAAGAAGGCGGGCACCCGGAGGGACTGCGGGGGGACAGGCCCTCAGACACCCTGCGTGCGCTCCTCGTGGGGCCTCCCGAGCAGCAGGGGTCAGGCGGAGTTGAAACCCGAGGATGGAGGAGGGGTGCGAGGCAGTAACGGGGTGGGGGGCNTGCGGGAGAGGCAGCGGCCTTCGGGAAAGGACAGGCGGGAGAAGCCCCTTCTGCCCCTTTGCCCACCTGTAACCGGGGCAGCGAGCTCAGCCAAGTGTCCTTGAGGCCAAAGCCGGAGTTAAACCCTGCGGACCGAGGGGGAGCAGGGAGAAGCTGGCTGCGACGTTTCTCTGTTTCCTCCTTACCCACAGCCCCACCCCAGGTTCTTACCAATAACCAAGTCAGGCTTGGGCCCCTGGAGCAGGTGGTAGGGCCGTGCAGACACTTTGATCTGCAGGTCCCTCCGGCCCCCCTTCTCCTTAGTTCCAGAGCTGAGCCGTGCTGATACCCCGGAGCCAGGACGGACAGAGACTTCAGGGCCATCCTGGGGAGCCGTGAGTGGGGTGGAGACACCACTGGAAGTTAGGGTGCTGGAAGGTGCATCAGGC